GCGTGGTCAGGCCGAATAAGAACGGAGGGGGCGGCGGCTGGACGGCTCACTCGGTGCCACTGCCTGGGGGCTGTAGTGACCGCGCCGCTCCTACGGGGGGCTGCCCAAGCCAAGGACCAGCCTCTGTTGCCTTCTCCTCCACCTCCCAGGTGAGTACACGGTTTCCTCCTCCAAAGGTGCTAGGATGCAGCGGCGGGCTTCGAGGGTCTTTTCCCACCCAACGGTGCTCCAATTTTTGCGGTGCCTGCTGGGAAGCTCCAGGACAGGAGGGGAGGTGCGGACAGGTGCCCAGACCTAGAGCTCCTGTACCCTCCTGCTCCCGCGAAGAATGCCCCGTCCTTTACGCACCGCGCTCCCAAGAGCCAGAAAAGCTCCGAGAGAGCGCTAAAACTTTTCCGAGACTGCGCCCGGGGCTTGGCAAACTTTAGCAAGTTCCTGCTCCAGGAGTCCCGCGGGCTGCGCGCTGGCCCGGCGCAGGCGGAGCGGCTAAGGAGCAAATGATGGGCGCCTTCAGCTCCTTCCTGGCCAAGATCAGACAACGCCCCCTACCACCCTCGGCGTGCTAGCGCTCCCTCGGGCTTGCCGCTGCGTTCCCGCGGACTCGTACGCCTCCTCGGAGCCGTCGGCCGAGAGTGAATTCGAATCCGGCGGTTTTAACAGGCGCAGTTGGAGACGCAGCGGTCTGGGACTTGCATCTGGCCGGGCAGGGGAGGGGTGCTTCCTAGGCTCGGTTCCAAGGCCTGAGTTTTAAGGAAAGGTCAGAGATCCTTCCTTAAATGTTCTTGGACTCATCCCACTTGAATGTGGACACCGCGAAAGCAGCCAAGGGATCCGAGCGAGTGACTTGGGCACCGCGCGTCTCTCCGAAAGTTCTCGAGAATACGGTGTCTGTGAAACCTGGTTCCTCCCCTTTTGGGAATGAAACTTGCTCACCGCCTAGGCTAAAGGCCATGGCGAGTCAGTTGACTCGGATAGCGGTGCCGACGGTGGCACCGAGGCGCGGCTGTCCCAGGAGGCGTCGCATTCAGCGAAACCCTTTCGTACAAGTCGCCAGGCAGGAGGAGCCGAGTGGGAGGGGAGTAGGAGGAGGACGAGGAATTTGAAGAGCACAGGTTGGTAGCCTGTGTACCTAAACGGAACACGCCGGCGGGCGAGGAAACCGAAAGGTGCCCCTCCAAGAGAGGGAAGACTCCAAGGGAGATGCCTGGCGAGTTTTCCTTGAGAAAGCAAGACATTGCAACTGTTGGAGGTGGACCATTTCAGCCCGCTGGTTGTGCTTTTTTTTTTTTTTT